GAGGAATTCCATGCTTTACATAATGATGACAAACCTGTAAACGATCAACCGTGACTAAACCCAAAAGCCGGCACTAACGATTCCTTCCTCATATCCAAGGACCACACGGGTAACCAGCCCCAAGCAAGCGTCCATCAATCCAAGGACCACATGGGTAACCAGCCCCAAGCAAGAATCCATCAACCCAAGGACCACATGGGTAACCAGCCCCAAGCAAGCGTCCATCAATCCAAGGACCACATGGGTAACCAGCCCCAAGCAAGAATCCATCAACCCAAGGACCATACGGGTAACCAGCCCCAAGCAAGAATCCATTAACCCAAGGACCACACGGGTAACCAGCCCCAAATAAGAGTCCATCAACCCAAGTACCACATGGGTAACCAGCCCCAAGCAAGTGTCCAATATCCCAAGGACCAAAAGGGTAACCAGCCCCAAGCAAGTGTCCAGCTATCTAAGACCCATAACTCAAAAGCTCCTTCTCCAACAAGCAGAATCGAGATCTATGAAATAAATTTAGACACAACTAAAAGATTGTTACCACATGTTCTGCTCGATTCATCCGTCACGGATATCCCAATGTCTTTGCTTGTTGATTCAGGGCCTGCCATATGTTTGCTAAAACAATCGAGTATCCAGAGGAACCTTAAACTAATAAAAGAACCTATCAAACTTAAGGGCATAGACCCGGGCGATGAACCGACAACCACCGAGGGCCATTTTCCGTTAAAATTAAAACTAAATAAAACCATATCCGCGTCATATAAATTCCACGTCATAAAAAATATCAACTTACCATATGACGGTATCATAGGCTCTGATTTTCTAACCACGTTTGGCTGTAAAATTGACTACAAAACCGACACCCTCAAAATCGGTAAATTAGAAATAAAATTGCATTTTGTTGATCCATTTTATATTATTCCACCACGCACCGAATCTGTCATTGAATGTTCGGTTTGCGATACCAATCTTAAAGAGGGCCTTACTTATCACGGACCAACACATGTCAGAAAATTTACTTATATCCAATTGCATCGTTAAAATCAAAGAAAACAAACGCGTTAATTTAACTATAGCAAATACTTCAGAGTTTCCCGTTAACCTTAATCCAAATCTAAACCTCAAAGTTACACCTTTACACTCTGACGCAGTCCAAGTGAACACAAATTACTCTAACACAATTAATAGAACAAATGACGTAATAAACTCATTAAGAATAGAGCATTTGAACCAAGAAGAGTCCAACGCCCTCATTGAACTTTGTTCCCAGTATTCCGACATTTTTCATCTGCCCGATGATAAATTAACGTATACATCCGCCCTAAGCCATCAAATCAAAACGAACAGCGAGACGCCTATACATACTAAAACGTATAGGTTCCCAGAATGCCACAAAAAGGAAGTAGAGACCCAAATCAATAAGGAATTATAGAACCCTCATCCTCACATTGGAGCTCACCAATTTGGATCGTACCTAAGAAACTAGATTCCCAGGGACAACGTAAATGGCGAATAGTAATTGATTATCGCAAACTTAATGATATTACCATTGGTGAAACTTATCTTATTCCACAAATTTCTGAAATCTTAGACCAGCTGGGCAACAGCAAATATTTCTCAACCTTGGACTTAGCTTCCGGGTTTCATCAGTTATTAATCAAACCTGAATATGCATCCAAAACGGCATTTTTTGTACCTCAGGGGCATTTCCAATTCAATAGGATGCCCTTTGGATTAAGCTCATGAATGCTTGCCTATCAGGACTCCAAGGTTCACGATGCTTCGTTTATTTAGATAACCTCAACGCATATAGATAATCATATAGATAACCTCAACGTTGTATTTAAGAGACTAAGAAATTACAATCTCAAGTTACAACCCGAAAAATGCGAATTCCTTCGTAAAGAAGTAATTTATCTAGGCCACATAATCGGCGAACACGGTGTCAAACCCAATCCCGAAAAGATGAGAGCTGTCACAGAATTTCCAGTTCCAAAATCGCCCAAAGACATTAAATCCTTCCTCGGCCTAGTATCCTACTACAGACGTTTTATTCCCAATTTTTCTAAGTTTGCCAAATCCCTTACTTCCCTTTTAAAAAAGGATGTCCCTTTTGAATGGAAAAACGAACAGCAGCTATCTTTTGAAATCTTAAAAGGTAAACTCGTCACAGCCCCAGTCCTTGCATATCCCGACTTCACAAAACCATTCCTTTTGACATGCGATGCATCAAACTATGCCATCTCTGCTATTCTTTCCCAAGGTCCAGTTGGACAAGATCGACCTATTGCTTTTGCCTCGCGCACGCTTAATAAAGCAGAGACTAATTACAGTGTAACCGAAAAAGAGTGCCTTGCCATAGTGTTTGGCACCAAAACATATCGTCTATATGGCAATCGGTTCACAATCATGACGGACCATAAACCACTCCAGTGGCTTTTTAATTGTAAAGACCCTGGTTCCCGCCTTGTCCGATGGAAACTTAAGTTAGAAGAATTTGAGTATGATATACTTACTCTATAAAAAAGGCAAAACCAACACAAACGCTGACGCGTTATCGCGGTTTCCTGTGAACCCTGTCCAATCTACAGACCCACCAACGTCCAATCCTCCTATAGTGTATCCAAGTCGAAATCTAGACGAAGATCTTATGGACTTGCTAATTTCTTCACCTTCCTTTAATCCAGACGAAGCGATCTCCTCCACTCGATTTAGCTGAAAATGCTTCACCATTACCCTACGTTGATTTGCCTTCCAACATTCCAAACACCCTAAGGGAAGAAATCGAAAATGAATCTATCAACTTACCTCAACCAGAACCTGAACAGATAACACCACCTGAAATCCAAACCGATAATGTCCCATTTCCATCCACGAGCTCATCTCCAGACGTACCTGTTGATGATTACTCTACTTTCCTTAAATCTATGTCGTGCAAAGATAGGACCTTTAATACAGAAGTGGAAGAGCACAATTTAACTCTAATGAAGTGTCCCGCTAAAGTAATCCTGGTCCCAACATCCATCGATTTGGATGAATCTAACCCATACATTCAAGAGATATTAACCGACCCTGAAATCATTGCCGAAATACATGAGCTCGAGAAGGAACTCTTCTCCTTTAAAAAGATAGAAGCAAATAATAAATGCTATTATTTGTTGTTCACCAAAGTAGATCATTTTGACGAGGCCTCCTATCCAGAAATCTTTCAAACATTAAAAACAATCGGGAATGAATTAGTAAATTCCGAGGGAATTAAAGAACTCGGTATATCGGATCTGAAAAATCAATTCGAAAAACATTCCTTCATTAAAATATACAATATCCTATGCTTCTTTCACTTCACTTTCATCTTTCACGATACTCGAATTAAAATTATATACCATAATAATATTATATATCCATCTCCGACAGAAATTAAGAAAATTCTTTTCGATAACCATAATATCCCGATAGCCGGTATTTTAGGTTCTGTAAAAATGTATAATAGAATAAAACAATCGTATTACTGGAAAGGTATGCGAAGTGACATAGAGTCATATGTAAAACATGTCAGGAAAATAAAGCAATTAGGAAAATTAACCGTGCTCCAATGCAGATCACCAGTACATCTACAGAACCATGCCAAAGAATATCCTTGGACATCGTCGGTCCACTTCCCGAAGCTGGATCAGCAAAATTAAGTTTTATTCTCACAATACAAGACGATCTTACTAAGTTCACCTGTGCATATCCCATCCGGAGTAGGTACCACTGCTGAAGAAACAAGTGAATGCTTACTGCATTATATATCAATCTTCGATATTCCTAAGATGATCCTTACCGATCAAGGGACTTATTTTACTTCAGACCTATTTAGAAAAACCTGCGAATTTCTTAAAATAAAAATCCTATGGTCTTCACCATATCATCCTCAAACGCAAGGCGCCTTAGAGCGGAGTCATTCAACCCTAAAAGAATATTTGAAATCTTACATTAATGAAGAACAGTCCAATTGGCCCCGTTATGTATACACCGCCATTCGTTTCAATTCAACAACGTTTTTGCCGACCGAGTCAACCCAGCGACCCTCATGAATGTGTGCGTTGCGTAGTAAGATAGTAGGCGTAGATATTTAACTTATGAATAACAATCAGTTAAAATAATGCATTACCATGCATACTGAATTTAAAAGATAAAAAGAACAGAATGTTTGAAACTTTTAAATTAATTTGTCTTCACCAGCCGCCTCTATTATTTATTCTGAACTTTCTCTGCAAATTTTTTAAGCGACAGTAGCCTAATGGCAGGGCGCGGACCGCGAACTTAAAAAGGTCGTGGGTTCGAATCCGCCATTCGGCTACTGGCGTGAACCACTCGTAACACAAGCAATTTAAGCTTACCACGAGTGGTTAAAGGGAATATTAGTAATGTTTATAGCATTGTTAATATTCTTTTTTTTTTTAAATTTTGGGCGTATGTTGCAAAATAACCCTGTACATATATTAAACATGGACGAACATCCAGACCCAGAACAATTATTTAACGGCCATACAAATATTTGTTCCGTGCGGGATTCGAACCCGCGGTCCTCGGCGCCGTAACTCAATGTTAAGCCACTCCGCCAAATTTGTTTAGCAAGTATAATATATTTATCTACACTTCAGAGCATAATACCTATAAAAATGCTTCAACATTAGATACCTACATACACCAGCACTAATATTTGTTTTACAATCAATAGCCTATTTAATTTTGAAAACAATATGAGTGTAGCTTAACATAAGCAACTTTTCATTTTAAAAGGCAGTGCTAGATACCACCCGCCCCTTAAATCATTCACCAATAGCGAGCTTTTAAAGGCGGGGCATTAGTTACATCTGACGACGTTTTTAAACTTGAAACCGAGTCAATTTATAAAGAGATATTTGAGTGAGAACATGTCTGCGGTGTTCAATATTTTTATACTATTTATATGACGTGTATTAATTTTTATTATGAAACGTTAATTTATGAAAATGCAAAGCGAAAGTAATTGTGAATCGGATAGTGGTAGTGCCGGGAAAAAAGCTCTACGAACACCGAAATGTGCAAGGTGCCGCAATCATGGGGTCATTTCGTGTCTTAAGGGACACAAACGCTTATGCCGATGGCGTGACTGCCGGTGTCCAGGTTGTTTGTTAGTGCTGGAGAGACAAAGAGTCATGGCTGCTCAGGTAAGTCAAGTTTAAAGAGAAGTACCTAATACCTGCCTAGGTATATAAATCACAAAATTGCATTGCGTTTGTAGGTTTCTGTCTTAAGTAAAGTTTTACTAAGTACTTATTTATATTAGCTACTTAAAGTTGAGTAGCAGTTCAATTGTTCGTCTTTTATTTCCCAAGTCATATTACGGAAGGTAATATGTAAGACCTATTTTTTATTTTGTATATATGTATATACTTCTTGTAGACTTTAAGGTCACTCCTATTCTAAATAGAGTAGCTACCTGCTATTTAAAAAGATAAAGAAGAGAAATATTATAGGCCACAGGGTTTTTTATATCGTAAAAACATACAATTACTACTTAGGTACTTAAAAAGTTAAAACAAATTAACCTATGTATCCAAGTTTACAGAACCTAAATTAAATTAATAGATTACTCTTCCAAAAATCATTTTAATTAAAGTTGGATGAAAGCACCAAACTAGGTACACCCGTAAAAAGCTATTAATGGAATAAGTAAATGGAACAAGGATCAAAGAACCCTCAATTTTAAAATATAAGAAGTACCTTAGTAGGTATATTAAGGACAATGAAAGAAGTCCAATTGTGATATTGAAAAAAAATAATTCACCATGACCGAAAAAATGAAACAAGGCATTAAAAATCCACTCATTGTGTTTAAGATGTACCTAACTAAATAATTAGTGATTAGAACTCGTTGTAAATCTATACAAAAAAGTAAACTTGAAGCAATGATTTCAAAAGGAAGGATAGGGCCATCTAAACATTTTACTCATAACTTTTTCATACAAGAAAAAGTAGCGCATCTGTCATAATACAAACGTCATATCAAAACACAACGTAACCAGGGTCTGATTTCGTAGTATAACTATCCTACTTGTACCATTATTTCATAGTTTGTAATACATAGTATCGTAATAATACTAAGCGAAAATACCATAATTTTACCTAAAGTATTTTTTTTGGTTGTATTATTATTGGCTCCTTTTACATTTTAATATTACCCCTACCGTATCGAACATTTCTGTGGTGTAAATGAGTACAGCGTTTTTTTAAATAAAATTAGAATTTTTCTGGTCAATCGACGCTCGATAGATGCATTTATGTTGCATCCTTGATACAACTATGACGATAAAAACTCTATGCTCCAGAAGCAATCAGTTTGAAAATAGAATTTCAAAATATTTTATGAATCAGATTTTCAGATCCAATTAAGCAGATATGGTTTCTTTTGTACACTTTTAGTTTTACCCTTATTGAATATAAATTATATTAGGTACCAATATTCAAAATTTAACTTACACTAAGTTCTTTAGACAAAAAATTACAACAGAAATAAAAATGAAACCGTCAAAAAACGAAACGTGTATATATATAAACTAGACGCGTGACGCCTAAATCCCGGCACATGGGAAAAAGACATGAAACGTCAAACGTGATATGTTTTTTTTAATAGTATAATTTTATTTTTCATGTGCAATATTTTTGAGGGTCTGAATCCAGCCCTGGCCTAATCTTAGTGATGTAACTAAACTAACTGTAAAATGACACTTTAAAATGCGTTTATATGATAATTTAATTATAACAAAATTTATATAAGGTTATTTATTGATTGTTCCTTTTTTAAATCTTTGTATCGTTATTTTTGCATTCTTTTACCACGCAACTAGACATTTGTGAGAGACAAATCTGTCCTGCGCGCGCACCACTGTCGACCGATTCGCGTTGGCCCTAAACTCTAATTTTAGGGCCAGCGCACTGGTCCGTTTTAGTTGTTCGGTCGGCCCGGTCCTTACGCTAGTAATATATAAGTCAATGACTTGAAGTGTCTATTTTCGTAATGTCAAAATAGCAGCTTTTTCTTAAATACATATGAAAGAAACAAAATATACGGTACCTATAACAAAAAAACAGTATTTAAATTTTTTGCCTGTTCGTCCGTATGTCTGTCTGTTTGTTCCGGCTAGTCTCTGAAATAGCTGACCCGATTTTGACGGGACTTTCAATGGCAGATAGCTGATATTATAAGGGTAACTTAGGCTACTTTTGTTTTAAAAAAAGGATTAGGGTGTAGCGTAAAAAAAATTAAAACCCATGAAAACGTACTACGCAAAATTACACGCTGTCCGGGGAACGGCTAGTAGGTAATGAACAAGTCATATCAAATAAGTCAGTTCCATATAGACATCTATCGAAGGTACTGCTGAAATGAGATTTTCAAAAAAATTGTTGCTGCGAGAATATTATAAAAACATGAACTCGCGTTGGTTCGTATAAATTTACCTAATTGTGTATGCAGTGTACTTAGTTTATCGATCCCGGGAATCATTTAAGTAGTTATTGGTAAGGTAAACCCTGCCATTGCTCTTACGATATGGTGCCAATTTACATTTATCTTATACAGTATACCATTAAGTGTAAATGCAAACTCCTCTTTCTTGGAATTAATTTACCGATTTCAAAATTAATAATATTCTATGTAGCTTTAATTTTGTTTGCATAAACAATAATTTTATTGCTTAAATAAATAGTCAGCTTTAGATTTTATACAAAATTTCTTTAAAAAAATTGAGTGTTTTGTAACATAAGGTAATGTCGCCGAAGATGGCCCAGCTCCTAAGATAGCCCACTTTAAAAAAAATACAGTTATGATTATTCGAAGCATTTGAAATTAAGCGCATTTATGCTACCAGTACCATATACAATAATGCTAGTGTGTTTCATTACCGGCGCGTTGCCACTTTGAAGACAGTTTGCTTGATCATGTCAAGACGATGCACGTTTAATAACCTCCATTATCTAAATCCTTTTGAAAATTAACAAATTTTAAACAAATCTCTTTGCTCTTAACTTTGAATGAGCTCTTATATGTGAATTACTACAGGTGAGTGTTATTACTTTATTTCTTTTTTTGTATTTTTACGAGATTATACTCAACCCGGGTGTAATTTCCTATCATGGCCCATAGTCTAATTCCCAAACATAGCCCGGGCCTTTCTAGGATTATTGAAATGTAGTGTGAGTATATTTTTGTGTTTGTATGTTTGGTTTTTTTTTTAATTTGACTTGTTGTTGAGATTGAATAAGAATGTATTAAATTTGAAGTAAGCAATTTTTTTTTAAATTAAGTACTTTTGATGTATTTTTCTTTGTTTTATTCTATTTTTATCGCAGATTAAAATGAAGCCTTCTAAATACTAAAAAACGGCGCGGGGAATGCACATAAACACAGGTGAAATCCGTACTTCAGCTAGTAAAAAACAGAAAATTGTCACAACGAAAATCTGCTGCAACATATGGCATACCAAGGCGAACATTAAGAAACCACGACTACATGGTTGGTATTGTCATGGATGCAAGGTGGATAGACTTGATGATATGTGTCAATGCCAAAAATGGTATCATGAAGGTTTTTTTTGCACCCAAAGCAAAATGGACAACCCTCTGGAAAGCGGGGGAGGGAGGCGGTGAATGCTCATAGCATACCACGCAGCCGGTTGCGTGGTTATGTGGAGACTTTTACCCACTAAACACCGCCTTTAGGGACTGGCTTAACAATCTAGCTAGAGATCTTTAAGCCGTATCGAACGCGACCCTCCTTGGGTGAAAGGGGGGCGCTAGCGGCGAGTAGCCGCTGGGAAGAATTGCTGCCTAATTAAGGCAACTTACGAATGGGATGACTAATTATATTGAGTTTAGAAGGTGTTGGTGCTCGGTAAGCGCGAGCAGACGGTCCTGAGGGGACTGAGAAGCGCGCAGTTTGCGTGCTAAAATTGCGATCTCTCTTACGTCGATATTGCGGATTGCAGTGTAGGTATACTGTATCTACGTTATCGGCGTAAGAGGATTCCGCCTGATGTCGGGGCCCTAGTGGGCGAAGGTGAGGAGGCCTGTAGGGTTCCTGAGGGGGCCGATATAGGTCCTGAGGTGACTGAAAGTTGCCCTAAAAGGGCATTTTGGATGGGAGAGCCGGGAATGTACGGTCATTGACCGGTGGCGGAGCTTTTTTGGCAGCTTTGTTGCCGAGATTGGGGCGAGGCGCGCGAGGGCAGCCTCTGATGTTGGCCGTATGGCCAGTCTGTGCGCAAAGGACGCAAGCGGGTGGGTACTCGGTATCACGGGGCCGAGGACACTCTTTCGAGCTGTGCGGGTCTAGGCACTTAATGCAGCTGGGAGGGGCTGAGCAGTTGGCCGCCGCATGCCCGTAGAGTTGGCAGCGGTGGCACTGCGCCGGAAAACCGCGCCTATAAGGGCTTCGACTTTGACTCTCGACAAGCCGCACACAGTGTGTACCTGTCGGAATATGTTGTTTGCCTCCGGCACGTTGGACAAAATGAGGAGGGCAAGCGAGTACCTCTTGCCCCTACTGCTGTGCATCTTGTGCACAGCCTCAACTGGGAATCCCTGGGACTTAAGGTCCTCCAGGATTTCCTCGTTGGCGAGTTCAAAGGGAACTCCGCGGAGGACAGCCCTGACTACGTTCTTCAGGGAGAGAGTAGGTGTGATATGGCACACCTTCGGATGTGAAGAGTTTGGTGATGTTTCTAAAGTCTTCCATAGACTGCAGAACGATTTTAATTGACTCACCAAGGTTGGTGGCTTGGTCATATTTAAAGCCTGTAAAGTGTGTCCGAGTGCTCCATGGCTTCGGAGTCATTTTCCGCTAAGAATGCTGCGACGACGGGCGGAGGGTTTTGGGTGAGATGGGATATTGCGGACCTCTTATCTTGGCCATAGGATGATGACCATAATTTGGTTCGCAATTTGGCTTATGTCTATGGTAGACATGTTGGGTGGACTGGGAGGTTAGCGCTGTATTCTAAGAACTGGGGTCCCTTTGTCCTGAGAAGAACAAAGGGCTTGCTCTGAAAAGAGCAAGTGACGCCTATTCCAAGAAACAGTAACACAATATTAACAAAATAGTAACAAGAAACATAAACAATAAAAATAACAAGAAACAATAACAATAAAATAACAATGTAAAGCAAGACAATCACTCAGACTGGTCAGAATGGTCAGGAGCGAGGGGGCAAGAACGGTGCTAAGAAAGATGACTCACCAACGGCAACAGCCCGACCGGTGCGAACGGGAGAGCGGAGGCGCGCGGGCGAGAGGGGCACTTCCGTGCGGGGACGGGAAGGCTGACTGCTTGGCACGACCGCACGAGAGCGGCGTGGCAAGCGGAATGTGACTGACGATCATGAAGTCTGTGTGAGTTTAACCAAAGACGATGAGGAGCAATTATTCCAGAGAGATTATACCCAGAGTGCAATTAAAGTTCTGATTAAGCTATTATGTACATTCACTTTTGAGATTCTTTTCAGTTATTTTCAGGAGTGTACACTTAATTAAAGACAGTAGCGTCTAATTTGTTTGAATTATCTAAGTATATTTTGATTGATCTCAAAGTTAATTTTCAGTATTCCCCTTAGATAGCCCACCTATGAATGACATTCATAATAAATTTAGAAAAAGAAACTGATTTATTTTTATTTTTGATAAGTTACTTTCAAAGTTGATCACAAAGTTCAATTTTACATTTAAATATTTGGTTGATATTTTACTTACCTTTTATGAATATAGTTAAGAGAAGGATGTGTTTTTATTTTGATGTTTTATGTTAAAAGTGTTTAAGTGTTTCTAATACATACATTTTCTTTAATATTTTTCGGGCCGTCTTCAGCGACCAGCTTCCCAAGATAGCCCAATACCAAGTTTCTGAAAAGTGTTTACATTTTTGTGTTAAAACGATAAAAGTTGTACTACTTTTTAGATATCTTGTTTCTCAAATAAATATATTACAACTTCCATTATGTTTTTTCTTTACTTTACTTATCTGCAAGATTTTACGAGGTTTTGAAATTAAGTGGGCCTTCATTGGCGCCTGTACCTTATTTATAAAATGTTTCATTACCTTGTAAGTGATCTTTTGTGATACATAAGTATAGCTCGTAGTATATCTTGTCTCTATTCATTTTAATTCCTGAAGTCGTCCTCTCACAAAAGCATATTTTTTTACGAATTTTGACTACGCTTCTAGGAAATACTTTAATAAATTCGCAAGTGATTTCATAAAATAAGTGTATAAGGTGTTAAAATTGCCATAAGGCTTATTTGTAAATTATGAATTGTCAGTGCGGAACAAAATTTAAACACAAATTGCGTGATCAACAAATAACAGTATATTTTCTAATTTTATGCAAATTTTGTGAAGAGGAAGTTCAATCAAACTAAGATAAATTTTAAGGCAAGCACCTGGCCTATCTTGATCTTATGCAAGTCACTTATACATACTACCTACTTTCTAACAGTATTAAAAATTAATTCTAACAGTAAATAACTGTAAACCGTAATCTCAGAAAGTCACTGTCCAATATTAACTTCTATACATTAGGAAATGGTCATGAAATGTGGCTACGAAACTTAGAACTATTATTAACGAGTTGGCACCAGGATTTGACCTAGGATTGGTCGCGTACTATGACATTTAGATCTCCTGCACGCACAGTTTCCGTACTATGACATTTAGATCTGCTGCACGCACAGTTTCCGTACTATGACATTTAGATCTGCTGCACGCACAGTTTCCGTACTATGACATTTAGATCTGCTGCACGCACAGTTTCCGTACTATGACATTTAGATCTGCTGCACGCACAGTTTCCGTACTATGACATTTAGATCTGCTGCACGCACAGTTTCCGTACTATGACATTTAGATCTCCTGCACGCACAGTTTCCGTACTACGACATTTAGATCAGCTGCACGCACAGTTTCCGTACTATGACATTTAGATCTCCTGCACGCACAGTTTCCGTACTATGACATTTAGATCTGCTGCACGCACAGTTTCCGTACTATGACATTTAGATCTCCTGCACGCACAGTTTCCGTACTATGACATTTAGATCTGCTGCACGCACAGTTTCCGTACTATGACATTTAGATCTCCTGCACGCACAGTTTCCGTACTATGACATTTAGATCTGCTGCACGCACAGTTTCCGTACTATGACATTTAGATCTGCTGCACGCACAGTTTCCGTACTATGACATTTAGATCTGCTGCACGCACAGTTTCCGTACTATGACATTTAGATCTGCTGCACGCATAGTTTCCGTACTATGACATTTAGATCTGCTGCACGCACAGATTTCCGTACTATGAAATTTAGATCTGCTGCACGCACAGTTTCCGTACTATGACATTTAGATCTGCTGCACGCACAGTTTCCGTACTATGACATTTTTTTTTTATAGAAGAAGGGGCAAACGGGCATGCGGCTCACCTGATGTTAAGTGACTACCGCCGCCCATGATCAACCGCAACACCAGGAGAATTGCGGGTGCGTTGCCGGCCCTTTAGAAAGGAGTAAGCTCTTTTCTTGAAGGTCCCCAGGTCGTATCGATCCGGAAAAATCGCCGGTGGTAAACTATTCCACAGAGAGGTTGTACGTGGAAGAAAACTCCTTGTGAAACGTACAGTGGTGGACCGCCAAGCATCCAGATGGTGTGGATGGTATCGGGACGTTTGACGTGTAGTGCGTTCACGAAATTTGGCGGCTGGGATTAATCCGAACAATTCCTCAGAGCACTCCCCCGTGATAGATGCGATAAAATACGCAAAGAGATGCAACATCTCTTCGCAGCGCCAGTGAATCGAGCCGATCGGAAAGCACTCGGTCGCTTCGAGCACGATTCGAGCCGCTCTGCGCTGGATGCGGTCAAGTGGAAGAAGCTGGTACTGGGGAGCCCCAGCCCAGAGATGGGAACAGTATTCCATGTGCGGCCGAACCTGCGCCTTTAGATTTAGATCTGCTGCACGCACAGTTTCCGTACTATGACATTTAGATCTGCTGCACGCACAGTTTCCGTACTATGACATTTAGATCTACTGCACGCACAGTTTCCGTTAACATCCTTTAAAGTTGTCAAACACACTATATCGGTAAATAAAACTGACTACCTATTAGTTAATAAGACCACAATTGCAAGTTGTACCTGAATCTGTACAAATAAACGAAATTAAAGTGTCGAAATAACTGAATTCTATTTGGTAAACTCAGGGGGTTATTACTTATTAGTATGGTAAGATTAAGACATGAATAACCATTTTTAAAATTTTTGTCTGTCTGTTGGCTTCGGAAAGGCTGTACCACAATGCTTACGAGATGGTTTTCTTAATTGTTTGACATTAAAATTTTCCAATATCTAGTAATTTTTTTACAGAATCCGGGTGACAAACGAGCACACGGTCCACCTGATCGTAAGTGGATGCTGTCGGCTGTGGCCCATAGACATTTACATCTATCCTCGATTAAGAAGCAAAGTGCAGATGCGATGCCACCACTGAGGAATAAGATGGAATGCCTCGTTTATAGTAAAAAGGGTCTATAAAATAGTTATAAGCGAATTTAGTCACGGATAAAGGCTATTTATAAATAAAAATTGATTTGATATTTTCAAATATTAGTATCAAATTGTAAAGAAATTTTATCGAAGTTTTAATAATGGTAGATTTTAATTTAATGAAAGTCTCGTTTGTAACAGGTGGCGCTTCGTCGTCAGCAGGGTGCGGGAACAACGCGAGGCAGTGAGGCTGCAGCACTAGCCGCTCGCAAGAGAGCGTACCGGGCTCGTTTACGTTGTATGCAGATGTCCCGAGCTTACCCTGTACCGCCACCCAATTATGGTAAGGAATCAAACAAGATGGTGACAAAGAATATTAGTATCTACTTAGTACAACACAAAAGGTAACGTGGAGATAAATCAAATGGACGTAATATTTTAGGATAGCTTGATTCTTCATCGAAGATGGATGTGTAAAGATGTATAAAGTTCGTCTGTTCTTTTATTTCTATAAGCTCAGACGTCGCTACACAAAACCCTATAAATGTAAGTGTTTAATAGTAAATTATAACCCTCTCAGCTCCTTGGTTAGTTCCATGCGCACACTAAATATAAACATTTGATTTGAACGCGTAAACCTCCGTTACACGAGTAAAAAATTATCGTAGCATATGCGGCACATTAAATAATTTGAAATCTGTATTCTGAGCATTCAAAATATCTTAGAAGTACTTAAAAAAACGCACAGTGTATAAAATCCAGTGATAAAAATAACAGCTACCCAAAACAGTTTCTAAAGTTGCCAATAAAAATAAACATCCTTTTGTATTCCGTGAAATATCTATAGTGAGATCGCATTCTCGGTTTCGTTTGCTTAGCAAAAAAATTTACTATCCATTCCAGTAGCAGTTGTGCGCATATTGACATTAAAATTTGTTTATCTTTCTAATCACACAAAGTCACTTTATTTATCATTAGATCACTAGCAAGTTTAGTGAATTATTTTTCCAAAATAATATGATCAACTTTTTCGGATAAACATAGCTTAGATCCCACGGTGTCAGTTATTTCAATATTATAGACAGAGACTTCAATTTAATTTATTTCTATAAATTTATTTATCTACCTACTGCAAGAAAATTTATTATTTTAAATTATTTCTGTCGCAGACAGTATTGAATAACAACATATCATACGGAACTATGTCCCAAAACTGTCTGCAAAACTTAAGTAAGTACACGTTTTGAAATGTAAAGGTTTGTGTCTTAGGTTATTGATAGGTCCTATCAATAATCTAAGGTTGATGTGTTATGAAGTTATGATTGTCCTATGAGTAGGTACGAGTGTCTTGTTATAGAATGTAGACTACTTACTCGTAAAGAGTTTATTTACAAACTTCTACTCTTTCTGCAATGATATTTTATAAAAAAAAAGTAACGTAATTTAAAATCATTGGTAATATTTTATTTCATTTAAATCAGAATGCGCTGCAAATAAATTATAAGCAGTTTGACATTATTATAAATAATTAGTTTTCCAGTTTTTCCTAAAAAATTATGATTTATTACTTACCTAAACCTATTAAGACTTTATCAGAAATGAAAACATGGCTTTATTATTCTTATAACCTATAACAACAACAGTATGTATACCCAACTCATATATTATAACCACAAAGTTACTATATAGATAATGTATACCTATATTTTTTTATAGAAGCACGATAATATCCGAGTTGTCGTGCACCACTCCAAGTTTTGTTATTGTTGTAAACGAGTCGATTCTGTCGTGTGTTTCGTTTCTCTTTGTGAAACGCTAAATGCAAATTAGCTGGATAAATATTTACTTTGGAACATCACTGGTTTTCTGAATATTTTGTGAAGCTTTTAACTACTTATAACACTTCTGCTACTATAACAAATGAAATCGAACGTTTTATTTAGATAGATGTAGGGTCGATGCGCCGGTAAGCCGGCCGGGTCTAGATTTCGGCCTTTGACACGAGCTGATGCAGTAAATTTGATTTAATAACAATTTTAATAAATATTATCGTAAGAAATACAGTTTAATGCATTTGTAAATAGTTTCACTATATCTGGTAGCATTAATTAATCAGGTAAACACAACACGCGATTTATAATAAATAGTTTAGTTTGACGCCGACACTGAAGCTATCAAAACGGGTAAGATCGAGCAAAAAAAATAGTGGCGAGCGTACCATTCAAAAGTAAGTTTCGTGCTGTATTTAATATAATTACTTAATATTGTGCTTATATTTCACTATATAAATAACCTAATATAGTTATTTGACACTGATTATTATAATAATTTATTGATAAAGTTAATAAATTAAGTGGCCGAAAAGTGACACATAAAATTATCCCATTATTTGGTTGTCGGCCGAAAAGTAGCCTGAGTTTAGCCTAAATACTTTGTCTCTTTCGTTTATTTGGTTACGTACTATAACTCATCTTTCTTACTTATATTGAATCGTAGCGTGCGTAGACACTAACTTTCAGTTTTCGGCCACCAAGTACTACAATTTGAACAGTTAGTGATGAAACAAAATTCCCACATCAGTCGTGGCCGAAAACTGGATTGATCTAAAATATATACAATTTAGTTTTCGGCCAACTTAAAATTGTATGAAAGAATACGGCGGCGGAAAATGGAATGCTGTCTTAGTTTACGTTTACGGCCATTTCATCTTATCATATCAAATATTTTATTCACATTGCGTTTTAGGAAGAAGATTCAAAAAGAATTTTTTTCTTCCGATGGCTCCTCTTGGTTAGAGATGAGAATGGTTAGATATGGTAACAGATTTTGTTAAACTAAAATACTTATGAGGAAGTACAAAATACTCGTGAATGAGAATATTTGATTGCTATATTTAAAAGATTTTATTATTGGATTATGATTCAAAGAGTAATAATTAATCATGGTTATTATTTTATATCAAAAACACACCCAAAAAGAAAAAAATAACGTCACGGTTAAAAAATCGCAATCACCGATTGAGAAAACTAAATACACCGATTTCCCAAACCGTTTTGCCATTTTCTGATTTTACAAAAACACTTTTAAGTTTATAGTACCTCTTCTAATACAGTGGCCGAAAACTAAAATTCTTGTAGGCCGAAATCTAAAATTTGGGGCCGAAAACTAGCGTTTTGCATATTTTTCACATCAAAATTTATTATAAAAAATAGATTTCTTTTCTAGCATTAATGAATTATCAAAATGAAAACTACATTATATAAGCTATAAATTAATATTAACAACACTAGGTCAACATAATCGCTATTATTTTTTATAGTACCTTAATATTGACAACTCCACTAAAAGGCCGAAAACCAGCGCAACGACCCTATGCATAGTTTAGGTAAGGTACTTGCTGGTAAAATGGCCTATCGGCTAATAAGGCCTAAGTAACAAAAATCGTATTTATAATAACCAACAGACTCCTATTGCACGATAATGTCTCTACTTAAAGCTTGCAGTGACGTGCTACCCCGCGTCCTATTACCAGAGTTGCATTATCTACCATAACACATAAGCTGCGACCGCACTGCACCAATAATAAAAATCAGTCCAAATAAATCTTATATGTTTTGTAAATGCTAAATTTGCTACTACCAAATTTCACTATAAGTTTATTATTATAGATACTCCCTCTTCGTATGTAGTTTTTACTGTAAGGGAATAGAGAGTACATCTGTGTTTGCGCATACATGAGGACACTCGGACACTACAATTCGGTACTGTGCAGATAGACTAGTCTCCGTGGAGACAAGAGAGAAAATTCAGTTGAGAGAACACTCAACCCAACAATCAATCCAAATCTCAACTTAACCACTCATCCCACCTCGATACACAAACGACGAGCTGATGATAATCACAATCACGAGGAGTGTGAATGACTAATGGACCCCACACACGGTCGGCTCAACTGATCATTCCAACTGATCATTTCAAACTATATGTTACTGCTGATATTTTTTTAAATATTGAATTGTCGATATATCGATAATTATAAATATATCAATATCGGAGTTTTATATTTTTTATAAGTTTATCTATCGATATATCGAAAATCCAATATTTTAAAAAATATCAGCAGTTTTAGTTTGAACTGATCAGTTGGAATGATCAGTGACCGTGTGTGGCGAGTGGCGACCATAAGTGTTGTTAGGCGAAGAAATTTATATTTTTTCTAGAGCTTTAAGACTTAAGAGGATATAGTAAGTCAGCTCAAATTCTAATTTCGCCCCCACTTCCCCGCGCGTCGTATGCTATGTACCGACATGTTTGTAATCACTAATACTGTAAGCAGATAGGTCGTTAGATACTTATTTCATTAGGTTTATCATATTTATGCCTGTTTCTTAACGCCAAACTAGTCGCTTCTTATTTTTATTACGGTTATTTCCCATTTTAATTTTACGTCGTCCTGTTGCGTAATGTGTATTCTGATCGTAAGCGACACAACCTCCCCTTTCAAAGGCCGAAGCGAAACTGACCGGGCCGCAGGAATCAAGCTTCAAGAAGCCGATAGTTTAGGTAATTTCTTTTACAGTGAAAATAATGGTATTTTAAAAAAAGTAAATAACATAAGCACTGCTTTATAGTTAGTTCAGTTAGTATGCAAAGTTTCATGATCTTATTTAAAGTATTTTATGAATAACAGCGGTTTATTGTTTATTTTGGAGGTAACTTTGGATTTTTTTTCTATCAAGAAAATTTTACGGAATCGTGTTCGTTAACATAGTCCTTAACATTAATCCTCAACTTTACCATATATTTATTTCAAAAATAATGCTGCAGTATTTTCGGCATAACGGAGGATCTTGCTAAGCCATTTAAGGTTATATTTCCCCTTAAATGCTGTATTTATGTGATTATTGATCACAAATATTAAATACTTTGATTATTGAGTTCGTTAAAGCCTTATTACCCTACCATAGTAAAATAAGGCCTACTATAAATTAGTACAACTGTAGCAAGATTTTTAGCAATGTTTAATTTTGTTTTTCTTTATAGCCAATATTAGTTTTGCATTCATAGTTTGTAGGAACTGTACTAAGCCAATGATTTTTATTAAAATCTGTAGACCGAATTGGATATATCTCACTTTTTCGAACTTCCCTTAGCTGGGTGTTCTTACTCGCAGGTATATGCAATATTTTTATCATTTGAAGTGATAAACAAACCAACTAAAAGTTACAGATGCTTTGTCACTTGTCACCTCTCAGACCTAAGATGGAAATTGGAATATCTTACATCACAACAAGTAATTATACCTACTTGCTATCTACCTATATGTAACCTTCAAACACCGGAACTTAATTGGAAATCAATTATTATTCTACCATCCCTGATTTTCAATAGGTATCGAATGTAAATGTATGTACTTATATATACCTAACATCTTAAGACGCATTCATTTTAAAGCGATAGAGATACCCTTGTATAATTATATTTAGTGTAAAAAGATACTCTTCAAACAATTAAAAATAGAGCACCACTGGCGCAATAAAATTTGAATGACGCTTCTAAATGTCCCTGCTTCATTAAAGAACAAAAGCTGTCATCTAAGACTCGGCAACATTTCACTGTCTATTAAAAAAGTGAATATCTTTCAACTATTTTTACGACTGTAAAAAAATGTGAAGATTGTTTTACAAGAAAATGCAGGGGCGGCTCTTTGTCGGGGTGTCAAGTTACAGCTCCGTACTGTTGACTGCAAACATGTCTTTCCGCCTGGTTGAATGATAGCCCAGCCGGTGCCAAAAATTAAGTCCACCAATATTTTCGAAATGTATTCATTTAAAATTATTTAATACTAACATTAAAGTAGCAAGGCTAACAGTCCCACGTAGAATTTTTAATTCACAATGTTTGTCAAGAGAATGTTCCTATATAATGAAAGAATAGATCATTGTAAAAGTCAGTTTCAATTTTTGCACAATTTATAGGTACTCCTTTGAAAAACAGTTAAAGTAATGCATAATATAAGTAGGTACTATGTTATGGTTATGGTCACTATTGGAAACCAAATTTAAAGATAATTTAGTATTAAGTTCAAAGACTACTTAAAACCTATGAGATGAGATCATATAACATTTCATAACCTTTAATATTTATTTATTTACAACAGGAAAACTTACAGCTTTTAATTAATACTATATGGTATATAATGTAATTCACAAAGTAAGCCTATTAGAAGTTTTCACAGATGAGTAATCGGTTTGGGTAAATACATGCAAATATGAAAACCTCTATATAAGCCATAGAATACTATAATACATACATTATAGTATTTTATGGTTTATAAAACCTCAACAACGCGGGCGTGTGGATATTATAGTACGTGCCAAATCGATTGAGAAAAACGGACAATGACCTTTCGGTCGTTTAACCAGAGGCTACAAACCTTCAATATATAGGCACTTTTATATGTACTACTTTCTTTATTTATAATGATTGATATAATATACTTATATTTATTAACTATTCGGAATCGGAGACCCTTTATACTGGAAATGAGGCAGTCCATCTTAGTCCTCACGGGTGACAACGCATCTGCATTTTGATTCGCTCGTCGAATCGAGGATAGATGTAGATGTCTATGGGCCACGGCAAACACTTACCATCAGGTGGACCGTGTGCTCGTTTGTCAACCTATCCTATAAAAAAGGCGATTTCTTTATTAGTGAAATTGTTTTAACTACTCGTAAAAATTGACCTTGTAGTGGCGTGGCGGCTTAAGTCCACTACGTGTGTGTCGCAAGAAGCGACAGGGGGAAATGAAACAGGAGATAGGCAACAGTATCTTTCTGATGAATAAAATAAACTGCGGTTGCCAACCCGAATGCCAAGCGTTGCGACTATTGCGGCCTTCACAATTTTTCTCTTTAGCTGGATGACTCGTTACTTAGATCCATTGCACAATCTAGGTGCATCCAGGTTCGTTCATTCATTACTGCATATCAAAAGTCCATTGCTGAATATAGGCCTCAACTACAAATTGTATAAAATAATATTTGCCATACTGGCCAGTCTGTGGAGGCGTTTTGTCAAATCGCAGTTTTTTTTTTGTTTTTTGTTTTTATGGCCATCTCGGCAACATCGTCTTACTGATAACAACAACAAAAAGAGGGAAACAAACCAGGAACTCCTAGTTTGTTTCCCTGTGTCAGGTCTCAGGTCAGATCCAGGATATGTATTAATAAAAGCTTCAATCAACAATACCAACTAGATGTCGGGTCGGCGCAAGAAATCCATCTTAGTAAATAAGAGCGCACATGAGGCGTGAGCTCTTGCACGTGAGAGTGTAGCTCGCAAGGCAATAACGGGAAAAAGAACTTTATTTGTTATAACTTAAGGTTGATTTCACACTAAATGTTATTTAATTTATGTCTTTTCATTGTTTATATTCATGCGGACAGTAATTTAGCTATGATTTTGTACGTAACCCGTTATCTAGTTGGTGTTGTTGACCGAAGAATAAAAGTAATAGCACAAGGAATTAAATATCTCCACGAGGTTGGTTTTCATTTCGATTTATTTTTTGAAATTAATTTAATATTTGATAATTTTTATTTCATAATTTGATCAGAAAATCCAGTCAGATCGTTTCTCACTTTAATAACTGTTAGCGCCAATTATAATCTATATAATATGTCGTTTAGGTATCAATATTTTAAATAGATAGATTTAAGTTCTTTGAAATCGGCTTTAACTTTTCATAAAAGGTTTATTGTTTAGCCTTTTTGAGTAGACCAAAGAATATCACAAGCTCAAAGTAACAACTAGAATGTCGTCTTATCATAGGGTTGCAATTTTTTCTCCAAATCAAATATGAATATATGGGGCCACCCCTTAAATATAAACTACAAAAATCGCAATTTACGAAGCTACCTTGTGTATTGAGAACATTTTTACAGTCGGTTAAAATAAAATGGATATGCATTAAGCTTGGTAGCTCCTGTTTTATTTTCACTATGAAGACAGCTGTAAATGTTTATTTTTATTCATTTCAGGCAATATCAGACTTCTAAGCAGCGATCCAGCATGGACGGAACGCGTACGAAGGCGGAAGGCGTTCGCAGACGCAGAACTGGAGAAGGAGGTTCCGCAATCTCTCCCCGGTGTCGGCCCCGCGCTGACCACGCCACCGGCAGCGATGCTCTGCACTCATTTACTCGCCGCCCTGCTCACTAACTATGCACCCTTACCCCCGTCACCGCCGCGACCGAAGATATCATTTTCTATTGAATCTATTATTGGAGTACAATAAACAGGCAAAACGTAAACCAAATGACAAACATTTCTTCAGTTTATCATTATTTGTGTAACTATAATAATTAGGTTCGATAGTAGAACAGAACGGTATATACCTACATTGAGGTTATTACTACTACGTATAGAGAAGACAACGCCTTGCATGATTTTGCGCCACGCTTTGCAGTACATTGTACCGCAACTGTTTAGTGAGTGTGAGTGTCCAACGCCCGCACAGACAATTCATGTTCGCTTCGCATAAACAACAACTTCAAAATGCCTGGTTGTGTTCTTATAAACTGCAGTAAACACTCCAGAACATCAAAAAAAATTGATGGATTAACATTTTATCGGTAAGTAGACATTAAAACGATTAAAACTATTTGATTTAAAGTTTTTCGCGTTGTTACAATGCTCACGCGAATCGGGCAAAATGTAAAATCTATGAGAGCGACTTGTACACTACGTTGAACGATACGCGTAAGCGCAATGAAATTCCTGACGCTTATGACATTTTGGTCGCGAGAAAACTAATTCCTAAAGCAAACTAGCGCCGCATGTTTTAATAGTTTGGTTAGACGACGTAACTATTATTTTAGCGCTGCAGCGAACTTTAGTTCTAACTCTTACCAAAATGAAGCAAACTTTTGGCTCGAGATGTCTGTTCTATACGCTAGTAATATAGTTCGATGTATATCTATAACTGTATTTTAATTTAGAATAAACTTAACCTTTCTGTCAATTACACTTAAACCGCTGTAAATTTCACAGTACCTACGTGAGGAAAGCGGGTTCGACTTCGATCTCCGTCGGTACCAATGAAATTGTTAATTGCAATTTTAAGTGCTGATTTACCACGTGCTCGGCGGTGAAGGAAAACGTGACGAAACCTGCATGTTTGAGAAATAAGTAAAAAAATTCGAAGAAATGTGAAGTTCGCCAACACGCATTGGGTCAGCGCGGCGGACACTTCCTTGCCCTAAAACCCTCTCAAAAGTGAAAGGAGGCCTGTGCCCAGCAGTGGGACGTATATGGGCTGTAACTTTAACTAACATTAACGAAAGTAGTTTTATTTCCAAACGTGCTTAGTATCTTATAAATGAATTATATCATATATCATACGTCAAATGTTAACCGCTTACATAGATAACTTGATTGCTCAACTAAAGATCCTGAGGTTAAGGTTAAAGAGATTATTGGTTTGTTTTTTTAGTCAGACGAATTAAAGGTGGTGTCATGTCTCTGATTCTGCAACCCAGGATACCTCCGTTCGTTAGGACGAGCGAATCCCTTTGTCTTCGCACGTTGGTACACATAAGGATCACGAACTAAACCCCACTACAATTTCAGAGCAACAAACATTCGATGATCCGATTATATAGTTCTATTTACTCAGGTTACTCTCGCTCATTGTCAATACTATCCGTGTTGGAAAAGTAACAGAGTCCAGAGTTTTATTACGCGGTACTTTTTGTACGCAGTGATCGTTGTGAAAACTCGATGTTCTATTTTCACGAACAAAAAGTGCGCTACGCACTGTCCATCTCTACGTAACTCATGATAACTCATGACCGACTAACCATGGTAAATTATTATTACGATGCGGATACCGAGTTCTAATCCCAGTCGGAAATTGTTGGTTTCCGTCGTGTATTTAAGCAGTTTACATCTACTGGTAATTTTCGAATTTTCTGCAGTGATCGATAAGAAATATGTGATGAAGAAAACCGATAATAGTATCAGCGATATTTAATAACCACATTAATAATTAAAACTAGAAAATTATGATTTATCATAGCCTCGGTGCCGTAAAGGAAAACAAAGCGAATAATATGAAACTGTACGTACCAGTTAATAACTGAGATAATTATATGTGTAGTTCATAATGTTCATAAATAAGCTGTACTTTGCAATGTTATGTAAACAGTGTTTATGTTTTCTTTATTTTTTTCTATGACTTCACCTTCAGGATTTGTAAGTAAAAATTTGTATTTAGTAATAAGGAAGTGTTATTTTAAAATCATAGTAAGAAAAAACAACAGTTTCGAACAATGAGTGCTTTATTAACGAAATGTCTGGTAAAAGAATGTCTGGTGAGGTTATTGCATTACAACCAAAACTTAGGTAATTATTAAACAAAATAATACAATAATGTATACTGCAACAGTGACATAGTTTATGTACATTTTAGATAACAGTAAGTACTGTATGTTTTTAAGAATTGAATTCATGTATAAAATATTTATCATCTGTGGAATATATATTATGCCTAGTTTTAGGCCCTAAGAAATAGTGCCTTTTAATTTCTAATAAGAGAATGATGTTATATACTCACTTAAAATCATTGAAATAAGATTAAACCGTGAAATTTACATAACGGAATATTTCAGGTTTTTATTAGATTTCACCTTTTAATACAGCAACTAAAATACCGATAGTAAGACAAACGGTAATTACTTTGCATTACTAAAACATGTCACAAATACAATATACAATAAATACAAATAATAGACATTAAAGAGAAATACAAAATTGAATTGAAGGAAATACAAAATATAGCTAGCAAATTTAAAAATATATTTCGTTATGAGTATTTAAACAAGTGTTACTTAGCTGATATACTAACTTTCATAATTTTATGAAACATATAAAACCAATATTTTGCTTTAAAATAAAATGTGAGCTATAAAATACATATCTGAACTGTATTAATGAAGTTCGAATTATAAAGTATTAATATGCAATAATAACAAGATATTATTATAAAGATTATGAAAAGTAAATAAATTTCATGAATAGATTTCTTAAATTAATGGGATTTAATATGTAAATACATATAATAAATACATTAATGTACACAACGCACGAAACAGAATATTATGATCAATAAAATACGAGTCGTTAGATATCGACAATTAATCGCAAATTTTCGCTTGCGATAATATTAATTTTATATAACAATGCCTTGAGGAAAGGAATCGGTGCCCTACGAATGCCACCTCGCACATGCATACATTCATATAATCACTTAATGAGCTATTATCACGGTTTTTTTAGGAAATCAAAATACTACAAAAGGTGACGAAAAAATCAACTAATCTTAAAAATAAGTTACGACACCCGTACATTTGTGTATTTAACTTAAAAATTAAAGTAAGCGAATGTATCCGAGGCAGCGTAACGTCTATTTTAAACTAAGTTCTGCAATATATGTACTAACAATTTCATCGCTCGCCTTTCTTCGTAAATACTTCATCCTCGGATCCCAATACTTTCAACCGTCGATACGATTTACAATAAGGGTGAACGGTCATTCGCACACTCACTGGGCTTCGTTGGCACATCACAAGGAATGGGACTAGAAAGGACTCGGGATAGGAACCTTTTGGGATTTATTGGACCGAAGGGACACTTAGTAATATACATACATATATTACATAAATATATCAAAATACAGAACACATAACTCCCATAAAAATAAACGGGACAGAGCCAAAATTAAAATTTTGATCCCAAGGAATGTTGAAATTTACAGTATCCCGATAAACCGTAAATATTCCACTGCACACCTAACGCTAAAATTGCATTTGCAAAATAGACTAATGTTCATTAGAACTACAAATTTTTCAGATTCTTGCAGTCTAAAGATCCTGTCCTTAAGGTCAGTGGCAACTATGATGTATGATAAAATGACATTACGAGCCTTTTTGATTTAATGTTTTGACCTAACTTACTGAAAATGGCACCTCAACTTAGTGTGTTACCACACCCAATCGATCAATCGTCGACCGATAGCTTCGATCGACGATCGATCCATGCCATTGATCGAAGTCGATCGATTGGTGTGGTAGCTTTAGCTGATATATTGTTCAATCATCGATCGGCGTTGATCAACAATTAATCGTTGTGGTTGTGGGTACTTTTGAATGATACACATTATGAATATCATTCAAAATGTATTCAAAGGAGTACGTGTTATTTTAGCCAGTACGCTCTTGCTCGGTATTATTAAATACAGAGACGCTAACGCAGAAGACTCTTGATGCGATTGTTTTTAAGGCCAGAGATCGCTTATTTCATCCAGACGACATTTTAAATAACGGTTGGTGAAGCAATGCTGGTTCTTGAATAATCAAGAAGCCCGATTGACGTCGACTAATCCACTCTATTGATCGATGTCATCGATCGGTCGATGCGGTAGAAGCTATCGATCGGCGTCTACTAACCCATACCACTATCGATCGATGCTATCGATTGAAGATCGATCGATTGGTGTGGTAACACCCTTACTATATTCAATCCACCACTGTGAAAAGTATTAAAACTTCTACGGTACCCTCCTATGCTACTAACATAAACAGAATACTTTTTAAAAGAATTGTATTTTTCTCTGAATTTGACTATAACATAATTTAAGTACAGTTTTCAAACAAATTTGCCTTATAGGCTAGATTATACTAAGTATATAAAAATACGTAACGGCATAAAGTTTCAACAAATTTCTTTTCAATGTTTGAAAGCTTTAAAATTTAAAACACTACCGTGATAAATACACAACACGTTAGTATTATGAATATCATAAGAAATAATAGACCTTAAGGATAGGAGCTGAGCTGTATCTGAAAACTGAAATGACAACAAGTGGTTAAAGTCAGACTTTTTAGCTATTATAAAACAAAAAGTAACAATTTTACTTGCATATAATGATAATAATACAACACAATATGTATTTACATATACATAATATTATTTTAATATACACGTAAATACCTTTATATTAATCATATGTTGCGCGCGTGGAAAAAATAATCGAAATACCGACTAATGGAGCTATGGTTAATTTACTAACAGTATTTTATCAACAGGGTATAGTTTATATACATTGCAACTATTATAAACAGCTGAGGTCAGTGTGTTTGTTGTATATTTTTATTAAAAAAAATTGATTTTAAATAAGTCGATACACTCGAAAAGTCAATATGACAAATATTTTTCGTCGCGTGCAACACAAACATACAAATCCATTAAAACAAAATAGAACGTAAAAATACTATTTGGTATATTATATAGCAGAAATCTAGCTCACATAAAATCTATCAAAGCAGCATATCTACACCCCGACACAGGCATATATAATCAATCATACACATATATTAATCAAAATAAACCAGTCACAAATCACAGATGACATAAATTCTCGATTTCACTAAGTCTTGTAATTTATATTAAAAATAGTAGTAGTAAAGAGTCAAGACATCAATTTGAAATACTAAAATAGAATATTTGAAAATCTAGTGGAGACATAAAATAAATGCTTTTAGATAAATTCTTATAATTTTATATAATATTATTTTTTGTGTACACACAATATAATAATAATAATACATATTTCGAGTCATGATAGCAAAGTCACGGTAAAACGGAGCAGAGCACATTTAGGTTAGCGTCAATGATAATTTTAAACAAAAAAGCGCACGAGAGATTTTGTTGAGCAGTAAGTCGTCAATCAAACAAAAAACAAAGTTCTACAAGCTATCAACAGCCCAACCTAGCTCGCGCTCGTCACGACTGTCCACACCAAAGAAAACTACGCCTTGTTTACAACGTAATGTTGCAAATAACACACAAACATAAAATGTTAAAAATGTAAACCGAAACGAAACGATTTTGCACTTCCCTAAATCAAAAAGAGACCTTAAATCTATCAAAAATTTACAAGTTTAACTTTTTTCATTACAACCTTAAAATGACGATCAAGTTCTTTATAAATTTAACTTATTAGATGAATTTGGAGCCTATGAAAATGGGTTGAAGAAACAAAGTGTTATAAAATTTATTCAAAAAATAAGAAAACGGTCTCATATTCATAGTTACATACTACTTATTATCACTAATCATGCAATACAGTAGACAATTCGATCACTCCTAGCATAAAATCCACCAGGATTCAATATGGTGAGGTTAGAACACTACTACTACAATCCTGCTGCAATAACTGCACAATTTGTTTAGATAACAACGATTAAACTGCACGTAAGCATGCAACGTGCGATATTAAGTCACGAGTACAGTAAGCTTAGCACCCCATGATACACCTAATTTTAGGTCTTAGCCCACCTAATCCTGTGCGTGTTATATCCTAAGCCAAACATATATGACAAGTCACTTTAAATTTGACGTTATATTTAAGCGGAGTCGCCGCGTCGTTAGATATTTTTCAGGTACAAATATTAATAGAAATGTGCAGACGAAGAGGACATCCAAACGGTTTGTTGACGTCTGGAGCGGGCGTTTATGGCCCGGTGGTTTGTTGGCACGGTACGCGAGGGTTGTGGCAGCGACGCCATGATGTCTACCCGACCCGAGATCATATTGGTTCCCCTGCGAAACGATCGTATTATCATTATTAGATTGATGTACCAGTCTTTCCAAAGTTAAATTGATCTGAAAAAACCTCGTTAAGCTTTTTTCGTTAACAGCATTTAAGCGCTAAATGTCATTTTCAGTCATTTTCAATTACACTAGTGGTGGACAACTGGAAACAATTTAAAAAAAAAGACAATTGTGGCGGCGCGGCGACGGTGTTGACGACTGGGTATAACCGGTCGCCAGGCTTAGTATTGACAATATGCAATTTTTAAAAATGCCTGCCGAGATTTGTGTTATATTTCTTTGTATCATTATACAAAGAAACTTATATATAGAAACAAATGTATGGTGTGACGCCCCATACTCTTTAGAGCCATGCTGCAATTATATTAGTAGTATAGTTGTAGCACGAATGGGTCGGCTCGACCGGGGAAGGACTACGCTCTCACAGAATGCCGGCGTGAAATATTGGCTTAATGCTGCTGTGTTTCGTATGGTGGGTGTAGATAACCGGAGACCCTTTTTACTGGAAACGATGTATTCCATCTTAGTCCTCACGGGTGATAAAGCATCTGCATTTTGATTTGTAATCGAGGACAGATATAGATGTCTATGGGCCGCAGCAACCACTTACCATCAGGTGGACTTGCGCGTTTGTCACCCTGTCCTATGAAAAAAAATACGATAGAGAAGTTCATAGTAAAAAAATCCGATTGCCTCTATCTTTACATGAGTAGTGTTAAAGAACGTTCATCACATAAAATACATACGCAATAATTTTATCTGATGAACGTCCGTAGAACGTTTCATATATAATAGTAATGTTCATTTTGGAGTATATAATACGACGATTAAACTGTGACACGTGAAATACACGATCGTTATTAAGTTATTGTTTTTATTTAGTAGTTAATTAATAAAATTTGACGAACATGCTTTTCAAAAGAAAGTTTTAATTGCAACGAAATTTTGTATTTTATGAATATAAATTTCTAAATAAATGACGTAACCTACTTTTAACTACGAAAGTTAAAAATAATAACTTACCATAATTTAAAAATGAATGCTGTTTATATACCACACATGGCTGAGAGTCGAGCGCTGAGTTGAACTGGGAACTGATCGGTAAACCGACGCCAGTTCTCCTCGCCCACTTGGTTCTTGAAGCCGTGCAGGATCTTCGTGCACATATCCTTGAGGTCGTCTTTAGGATGCGACCAGGACGCGACCGCGTCGCAAAAGAACATGAAGTCGGGGACTACGCCCCCGGGATTCACTTGAATCATTTGACAGATGCCACGAAAAGCGGAGTCTTTCTCGTCGTTGTCCCGAATGTTACGTAGCGACGTGCACCTGTGCGAAACAGTTCTGTTGGTGAAACCCATAAAAGTAAAACTGAGTACAACGCGGCGAAATACGGTTGTTACGCTGACATCGAACTGTTTTGAAACAATATTAATTTAAGGATAATTAAAAATCGTCAAAAAGCTCACAAGTTCTTTAAATATCTAAATTAAGTTTACGGAATGCTAATACAAATTTGAACAGCGCAACAACCTATGTTGTAAGACCAGATACAGAGTGACTTTATTTGAAAAACTTTTATAACAAATTTTAAGTTTTTTTACGTTTAAATTGCCACCAATGACTTTTTACACATTTCGTAGAAAATGCTGTTTGTTTTATATATTTGCTGACAATATATGTATTTAGCGTGTATAAGATCTTTCTATTGTTATTAAAGTATCAGTTAGTCGCATGTTTATCTTAGTTGAAATGAAAATGATTTCTTTATAATATCATTTACCAGAAGGAAGTGACTATATAAATACAAATATATACAGGCTGTTAGTGTAAACACCGTTATCCTTGAAACCAGTGGTTTGGTTTCACTTATAAAACGTAAATTCAATGAAAAATAACAACATTTTTTTTAGTTAAATCTCAATTTTTCCTTAATTCCTCAATTTTTGCCTGTCCTAAGCCAGGATCAAAATATGAAGGAAAAGTTACATCACAGGTTATGTGTACCTATTGTGTTTTATTGGAATGTAATGTAGGTAGCTAGCGCGGGCGGTGATCTTTACAGCGATTACGTCACTCGGGCGCATAGGGTATCCATGAATTTACGGACGGTGTTGGACAGAAACTGAATCAAAGAAAATTGCGTTTTTTTAATTAATTGAATTTACGTTCTATAAGTAAAACCAAACCAATGGTTTCAAGGATAACGGTGTTTACACTAACAACCTGTATATATATACCACAGATTATTCTTTCAAATATTGAGTATACTTTTAACACTAGCTTAGATCTCGGCTGCAAAAATAGCTACGTGTAAAACATTAGGCTAAAATATAACACAACAGAGGGAACTATTGAAATAATATAAAAATAAGGTCACTCTTCTAAGATGAAAATTACGAGTTAAGTAAGAAATACTAATGTCCGAACTGCCCTAACAAACTTAATAAACAAAAATAAAGAAGCATAATGTATAAAACAATTGAAAATGAAATATAGTGTGTGAGGTTAAAATGAAAATAAAAATATCGAAGGTGACATATATTATAACATATTGAATGAACATTGAAACTCATGAGCATTCCAAACTGAAAGCAAAGTACATATTATACTTGTTTAGTCATCGTGCAATATACATTATAATATTAATTACGTATACAGTTTATTCGCAGTTAGTTATAGGACACTAATAGTATATATATGGACAGGATTTGCCTTGCAGTTTGGATGAAATATTATATAGATTGTAGCTGCTTATATAAATTTTGAAAGCGGATGGTGTTCAACACACAAAGTACAGCACTGAAAATAAGATGATCAAATAAATACCACCCCATATATCAGTGATTGCAAAGTGTGGCCTCAGCGTCGTACACAGTATCTTACATGCCTGGTTCAACACAAACGAGAACAACTAATCATAAAAGAACATATTATTAACAAGCCAGGAACAAACACCATCCACAATCCAAATAATACCGATCAATAACTTATTCAATATCAAAACGTAATCGTAATAATAATAATAATAATATAAAGTAATAATAAAAAAAATTGACTACAGACCACTGGCGTACAAATTGATGTAATACGGGTGCGACGTCGTGGGGGCACACATAACCTAGCCGACCGATAGTAATCGCTACACGCCACGATATACCGAGAACAAAACCAAGAAAACAAATCAACAAACCATTCAAAACATATTCAAATCACATAATTCAACAGCAACAAATTAGTGTTACAAAGAGAAAAAATGTGAAACCATTTTGTACTAAATAACTATCAAACGAAATAACGCATATTAATCAAAAGCTGGCCTAGGAAATTGTAAGAATATAATTGTATCACTGTTTATAACAATTTTGCAATCCAGGCCACCTCTTAAAACAGGCGCACACTTTAAAGTGTTCTATGGGCACTACATTTGTGATAAGAAATATTTACATTACACCCCATAAAATAAATAATTGCATTACAACATAACATTAAAAGGCTAAAATTGAACACACTTTCCGCCAAAACAAGCGGACATACTGATGAACTGATTTTCCTTGTTTTTATACATATGATGTTACATAATTATAAATAACATTATTAATAAAGTAGGTTATTACAACAATACTTCTATAATCAAATCATAAAAACGAAAAAATACTGTTAATGGTTAATAAGGTTCTTTAGTAAATAGTTTAAGGCATTATTGATTATATTAAGTCAATTAATTTGCCAAACCATCTGCTAAAGATTACTTTAAGTAGTGGAATATTTCACCACAAACAAGCAAGAAACAATAAAGTTTATAATGAATTGTATGGGGAACCAATATAAAGCAGTGAAGGGATAAAAGGGTAAAGATAGTATATATTCACAACATTACATGTCTGCCACCGAAAATATTTAATCAAAAACAATCTACCAAAAAAGTGTGAATGTATTATTATTTGGTTTTCTATATTGATTGATTTATTTTGTGTTTAAAATGTATAAAATATTTTGCCAGATGTTGGTTGATGAATGAGTCTTAAGTACAAATTCCGACTTACCTGTGTTTTCGAGTAATGTTTTAGGCGTGTTTGGTCTGTTGATGATGTCAACTAGATGACTAAGTACAAGGGGTATGTATTTTGACGTCTCTGGCCCTGAAACAATTTTAGTTAGCGTAATGCATAGTCGAAGCTGTAAGAAGAGCTCAGAGGCTGGGTGCTCGCTTTATATGTTATGATAACCTGGATGGTACCAGCAGTACCGTCTTTACCATAAGGGCACACGGGGCGTATATTTACGGGGGCCCCCGTGACTAAAGGCATCGGCCTTATTCGCTAACGCTATACATTTTTTTCTATTTTAGGTAAATATAACCGAACAAAAAAGTTATAGTGTAAATGAGGGCGTTGTTAGTGACTTTCTGGTAACCCTATGCAGTGACAAGCTACACAATGCCGAGTAAGAAAGAAAAAGTAGCATTTCCTAGGTAGAAATATGTAGTTCCCCGTTTCGCCGTCATCCTAAACATTTTTGTCGGGCTGTACAGTCGCCTCACTTATTTTATTTTTATTTTCGACAATCTATGTAGTTATAATCTGTGAGATAAAAATATAATTTCGTACTGTTTAATAAAAATAACACTTCAAAAGGTTTAAGGGAAAATGATTTATTCTACCTGCCAAGTCTGAGCATGATAATTCTCAACCACAAATATTAGGTTTTATTTGTTTATATTGTTAGGTTTTTATTTGCTAATAATTGTTACGATCCTTATTTTTAGACAAGTGAAGCCTAAACTTTAATGTAATAAATAAAAAGAATACACGTATTGAGGTTGTTATAGAGTATTTTTATCTTTTTAAAGAAAATTTAGTAAAGAAACATTAAAGTTTACATTTTCCTAAGAGATTATCGTCCCCGCTATGAAATCTGTCAAATATTTTACCTCATTGTAAAGTGGCGCCGCCTTGGTGGCAAAAAGTCGTGGATGCCTTAACGACACATTATTTGATTTATACCAATTAACTATAATAAATATAAGATCATAGCAGAAAAATGTTTTTGTCATTCACTTTTTTTTACTTTCCAACAGGGCCCCAAATTTTTGTATGCCCAAGGGCCCCGGTATGGTCTAAGACGGCGTTGGGTACCAGAGCGACCAGGATACAAATTTTCAATGTTGATTTATCAAGTGCGTACGTATGTCGCATGCTGTGATTTACTGGACACCCTTTTTACTGGAAATGAGGCATTCCATCTTAGTCGTCAAGGGAGACAAACGCCTATGGCCGGGCGACAGCAACCACTTAGGTTACCATTAGGTGGACTGTGTGGTCGTTTGTCATCCCTATCGTATAACAAATGCAATCAAGCAAAACACCGTGATGAAACCCCTCTCCTGACCTCTCCTGCTCCATAACTCTCATGTCAAGAATAGTCCAAACATGGACGTACGAGTACATAAGCGGAATGTTTAGGTGGGTATTCAAAAAGAATTGCCCATTTTCGGCCATGGAACGCCCAACAATGTGCATTTGTTAAAAAAATATATCTTTATTTATGATTATTAATCGCGGTATTCATTTATCCTAAAACAATGGGAATATTTTTGCACAAATTAAAAGTACAGAAAAGATAAGAATAAAATTAGGTAAAACAGTAATTCATTGGGTGCGTTTGGCAGAAAAAAGCGCTAGCAAGCGCTTGTAAGCAAAATGGCGATCGTAAGCGGTAAGTGCTGTCAAATCGTAAGTAGCTATTTTCCTCTAGGACACGATGTTAGTTTTAACCGGGGAACCTAACCTAATTTAAATATATGTTTGTAAAGTATTCATATTAAAAACTTGCCAATCATGAATTTTTAATAACATGTATATATTTATTCATATCATTATACTACTTAAAACTAATATTGCACAAAACAACTTTTAAACTCTACTTCAAAACAAACAAATTAAATAAGCAAAATGGCGGGTTATGTCAGCGCCACTGAAGTAGCAATCGTGTCCTGGCCGAAAACTATTTTAGCGCTTGTAAGCGCTTGCTAGCGCTTTTTTCTGCCAAACGCACCCTAGTTTGTGAAATAAAATAATAAGTGTTGCCAATCACAAATCTCATTAAAAAAATCGATTCCCCTTTTCGATCGATTACTTATGGTGTTATTAATACAATGCTTACCTATATAATTTTCCGATAATTATTACGATGTTATGATATAGGTTTAAAATAACCGTTGACAATGGATATTTATCCAAAGCAGCCGATACGCAACCGTCATTAACCAGTTGTTTATCCGACTACAGACGAAAAAGGATGGTTATGTTTTTACTGTGTGTGCGGGTTAGGCTATGTTGAATTGTTTTTTGCTATGGTGCTTAAAAAAGTAGGATGCATTTTATTATTGAGGGCGCTACTATTAAAGAATATTTTTTTCGCTAAATTCGTAAAGTACTTGACCAACTTTAAGAATTATTTCACCACTAGATTGTTATGTATAATTTTAGGTATCTAATATATGGTTAATTTTATTATAGAGGGCGCTACTTTCAATGAATACGTTTTTTGGCTAATCTCAAAAATTACTAGGTCGAGTTTGAAAGTTCTTTTACCATTACATTGCTAATGAGGGCGTTAGCTGTGTGATTAATTTATATTATTACAATAATTAATTGTGAGATTAATATTTTTTCTAAATAAATAAAACTAAATACCTACCTAAGATGTTCAAATCCAATTATTATTTTTACAATTTAAGAATCGTATTTACACACTTTACTTACTCAGATTGATTATTATAGATAAGAGGTTATAAATCTAAAGTAAAAGAGCTCCGCTTAAACGAAAAAACTATTTATTAAAATAAAACTAAAAGTTGAAAAAAAAGTGGTTCAGTGCGAGTCGGACTCGCAGGCCCATAGAGACTTCTGTAGTAACAAGCATATATTTTAAATCGAGTCAAAATACCACTATAATTATCGCTAGCAACAATTTATTTTGTTTTTCTTAGTGTTTGTATAAAAACCAAAGTTGTTTTTGCGGTTCTTTAAAATGTGCAACTTGTATCTAAAAAAAGGACTATTATACATTATAGGGGTTTATGTGGTTTATTTATTACCAAAGAGAAAAAACTTATTGCACAAAATGGGTTTTTATTCATTTCAAGTCATCAAAAGCGGTAGTCAACCGTTAAAAACTAAAACAACCATTGTTATAGGCTCGGTTGAATTCATTGACAACCTTCACATTTATAGTTATGATAATTAAACAAGCGAATTACTAGCTGATTTACCAAGAATTCTTTAGAGTATAACAAAACGCTACTGCACAAGTTAACTGTTATTATTATCTGTTCCTAACATAACATTTAAAATGGAATCATGTTATGATAATTCAAGAAGTTAATTTCTAGCTGATTTTCCACGAATTCTCTAAAGCATAACAAAACAATACAGCACAAGCTAACTATTCTTAAAAATACATTTGAAATAGAATTTCAATAAATAAAGGAAATTATATTTCAAAAAAGCGTGCAGAATTTAAAAGGCGTCAAAGATTATTCTTTTTATGATATTATTAATCGAATAAAAATCGATATCTTTTCATAGATTTTATGACAGTTAAGTGGCAACATCGAATCTGACAGGTAGGCCGCTGTCACTGTTATGTCACAAGAATTCAATTGCGTGTTATATTATATCGTGTTATTTTGTTTTGTTGGAAAATGCAATTGTTGATCTCTCAACAATTGGTTCGAACACAGCAGGTAAATAGTTGGTACATATCACGATGTGGCATGTCTTCCTCTAAGAAATGCTTTATAACTGAGTTTACTTGAAAAATATCAATATAATAATTGTAGCTTCTTTATTAGGTACAAGTTTCGAGTACAGAGAACGTGTAGTGTGCCACTTGCAAAATGCACCAATTGTTCGTCTTGAACATGTATACATCAGCTGTGGCACTGACACTTATGAGAATAAGATCACACACATTGTTTGGGTTCGATTCTCCACGTGAGGAACAATTTGCGCTACGTGAGGTAAGATAAGGTAAGATGTTTAACATTTTCAATTTATTAAATGTGATTCTCATATCTGATAATTATACATGTTTTTACACTGATTGTATATCAACTCAAGAACTTGTTTTATTTTTTCACATCTGCACTAGCTATATCTCACAAACATACTAGCTTATTTATGTGATTGACCATTTTTATCAACTACCAAGAAAGGAGACAGTTGATTTTACATTGTTTTTGGACTGCTGGTAGTCTGTCAGGCCTTAATTATTAAATAATATAGGGCATTAAATCCGTCCTTGTGCAGTAACATTTAACTTGATAAATATTTTATTTATATTTGAGTTTGAAATAAACAAATCTATTTTATTTTTATTTTTTCACTTTGACTTCATTTTTTGTATTTTACATTATTTCAGTTCTCATGTCGTGTATATCATAATTGCTGGCAATGAACTGATAGAACAGCATCACGTTCAACTGCAGAACGGGAACCATCTGAATCATCTAGTCCGTCCTCGTTGCAATCTGAAGTGAGTAATGTATTGCACCCAGAACAACAAAGCTTAGATCATACATCACACAGTGTACTGCTAACTAATTATTTAAAAGCACAATGTTTTTTACCTGGTTGTAACAGTTCCATCAGCATTGCAAGTATGTCTCTTTTGTGATTAACTACATTTTGCAATAACAAACATACATAGTGACAATTACTATGTATATGTGTTATACGTGGTAGAGCCATGCTGCAGTTATATTAGAAGTATAGTTGTAGCATGAATGGGTTGGCTCGACCGGGGAAGGACCACGCTCTCACAGAATACCAGCGTGAAATAGTAGCTTAATGCTGCTGTGTTTTGTATGGTGAATGTAGAGAACCGGAGACCCTTTTTACTGGAAACGAGAAAATGATCTTAGTCCTCACGGGTGACAATGCATCTGCATTTTGATTTGTAATCGAGGATAGATGTGGATGTCTAAGAGTCGCAGCAATGTCTCCAGCAGATGGTGAATCTCAGTTAATGACAAGATATGCTAATAAATCCAGAGTCAAACTCCGCCATTGCCGATCCCAAGCTCGGATGAGAAAAGAGGAGGGGACGGTTCCGCCGGAGAGAGTGGGTGTATCCG